CCTCCTCATGCCCACACCTTCTCCCTGTCCTGCACCCCCATCCTTCCCCATACCCGCGTCATGCCCACACCCCTTGTCCCTGCCCTACACCCCCGTCCCTCCCCATACCCCCCTCATGCCCACACCCCTTGTCACTACCCCACACCCCCTGTCCCTCCCTGTGTCCCCCTCATGCCCTCATCCCTTGTCCCTGTCCTGTACCCCCGTACCCACTTCATGCCCACACCCCTTGTCCTTGTTCTGTACCACCCCATACCCTCCTCATGCCCACACCCCTTGTCACTGCACCACACCCCTGTCCCTCCCTATACACCCCTCATGCCTGCACCCGTTGTTCCTGTCCTGCACCCCCATCCCTGCCCCCCATGCCCAGCTGTGTCCCCCCACCCTCCATCTGCCTGTCACCTTTGTCCCTGCCCTGCACCCCCCTGCCCTGCACCTTGTCCCCACCCTGTGTGACGGGCAGCTCCCCCCAGGACTCGGATTTCTCGAGTGTGACGGGCCTGCTCACCGGTAGCGTGAAGCGCTTCTCTACAATGGCGCGGTCTGGGCGGGACAACCGGCGGCTTCTGTGCGGTGTGGCCTTGGGCCTGCTCGTGGTCTTCTTCATCCTCTCCTACCTCCTGTCTAGGGCGAGGACGTGAGGAGCGGGTTGGGGGCTTTCCTACAAGACACCCCTTTGTGTACGACTGTGAGTCAGCAGCCTTTTTTCTGCGAGGCACGTCAGCTGGTCTGTGTGTGGAAGGGGCCCTCCTCTTGGGTGCTGGAGGCAGCTCCTTCCCTTCTGTGATCTGAGGGGCCCAGCAAAGTTTAGGGCTAGACATGAGAGCCTCACCCTGCCTGTGGTGAGTCCCTGTGTGGACCAGTCTCTGTGCCTGCCCTGCGCCTCTCCAGTCCTCCCTGAAGCCAACCCTCGACCCTCAACCCTCGGGGCAGGCAGGGTGTAGCCTGAGGGTGAAGGAGCCGGAACTCGTGCTCCCAGGATTTGGCCCCATCAGCACTGAAGCTGGGCTTCTGGGACACCAGCAACAAGCTGTGCATATTCCAGGGTCAGGCAGAGCGTGGGTCCCTTTCCTGTTGGGACCCTCTTCTGTGGAGTGATGGCCAGGCTACTGCAGGGACTGCTGCACACCCTCTCCACCCACCCCCCAACCACCACCCCCAGCGAGGCCTCCCCTGCTCCTGCTTCCTCTGGAGCCTTCTGTGTCATGAGGCATCACTGGACCCCCACCCTGATCCCCAGCCTCTGTGCAGACCACCCTCCCTGCCCCTCTCCCGGCCTTACCACCTACTTGGTTGGGCCGTGCTTGGTCACCACATGGCTCCCACCACACAGCCAGACCCCGGCTCACTCATTTTTGTGTGGGACCCTGAGGACGAGCCTCCAGTCCTGTGCCTTCCCTGCCCTCATCCAGTCACTCTGCTTCCCAGTCACCCTCTTACTCCAAGGACGACACCCTGGGGTTCATCCAGCCAGATCGGCCTTACCTCAGAAGTCCATGTTGGCCTTCAGCCCCAGCCTTGGCCCCCAGCGGCCTATCCAGAAGGGCAGTCCCTTCCCGCCTCTTTACTCACCCAAACTCAGTCCCCCCATCCCAGCTGCCCACACCCTGCTCCTGCCGCTGAGTGGATGGATGCCCTTGGGCTATGGTCCTGACGCTCTACCTGGCCTGGTCAGCTGCACTCAGGGGCTCCCTGCACAGACTTCCAGCCTATTCTCACACCACAGAGCCCTGTCCGCTGACCCCATACTGGGTGCATAGGTGCGTTATACTGTAAATTGCTCCTTACCGTCTACATAGTTATTAGTGGATGTAATAAGTACTACTGGACAAAGAGTAAAGTATGTACCCTATGGGAAGACGATTGCTCTCTGTAGAAACCTAAATCTAGCCGACTTTGAACAGAGGCGACAAATGGCGTCCATTGCCTACAGGGGGCTTTCCACTTTTATTACCTCCTTTTTCCTTGTATTACCCTTCTTTGTTACCGCCTCCCCTACCTGTTCTCTGTACATGCTATCTGGCACGTACACATGGCTGTCCAATTAGTATTTAATCCTGGGAGAGAGAAACTTAGACGTTCTCCTCCCAAGACAAGAACTGGGGTTTTGATGTGACCTAACACCATCTTGTGGACGGGAGCCTAACTTGATGATGTATGTTGTTCTGCTTATCCCTGTCCTGTTTATTCTGTGAGTAATAAATGCCTTTTGACTTTGCCATTAGAATAGTGTCTGGTCCGTGCTCTGCTCCCGATGGTCTTCACTGAGAACTTGTGACCATAGTAACATTGCACCGCAGGCTCCCACGATGGCCAGCTGCCGCAAACAGCACATCCAAGCCCAGTACATCCCCCACCCTGTCCGTTCCTGGGTTGGGACTTCTTCACTCCCGCGACATGGCTCAGCTGTGGGAACCAAACAGATTTTGACATTCTGCTGCCAGCCTGCGCTCTGGCCTCGCTGGTGTAAACCAGGAGACTGTTTGCATTCGGGGTGCCCTACCCCCACTCTAAGAGCTTTCATTGCTGCTGCCACTGTCCCCTGTGCCTCCATATCTCCTTGCAGCCTCCCACCTGTTTTGGGGTCTGGGTTTCCTTTCCAGTTTCCTCCTTGTTGTGTTAGGGTAGACTCCAGGGAGGGGATGATACTGGCCTTGTAGCCACGTGTTGGAACAGAACCTCCAAGCGTGTTCTGACCCTTCCCTGCTCAGCCCTCACACACTTGGCACCGGACCCTAAGCATGTGTGGGGCTTAGGGCCAACAGAATGCTTGGAGTTGCCCATTTTGTGCCAAGTGAGAACCAACCACTAGGCTCTGCCTCATTATTCGTCCAGGAGAAGACAGTTTAGCAGTAAAAACTTGGAATAAACAGCTTCATGAGAAGCAACCACATAGTTAACCGCCTGGATAACCTAGATGAAATGGACAAATTCTTAGAAGCACACAGCCTGTCTTAGTCATCTAGTGCTGCTATAACAGAAATACCACAAGTGGATGGCTTTAACAAAGAGTTTATTCTCTCACAGTCCAGTAGGCTGCAAGTCCAAATTCAGGGCGTCAGCTCTAAGGGAACACTTTCTCCGTTGGCTCTGGAGGAAGGTCCGTGTCATCTATCTTCCCTTGGTCTGGGAGCTTCTCTGCACAGGAGCCTCAGGTCCAAAGGAGATATTCTGCTCCTGGCACTGCTTTCTTGGTGGTATGAAGTTCCTTTGTGTCTGCTCACTTCTCTCTTTTATATCTCAAAAGAGATTGGCTTAAGACACTATCTGATCTTGTAGACTTCATCAGTATAACTGCTGCTAATCCATCTTATTGCATCATAGTGAGTGAGTTTACAACACATAAGGAAATCACATCAGATTACAGAATGGTACACAATCACACGATACTGAGAATCATGACCCAGCCAAATGGACATATTTTTGGGGGACACAGTTCAATCCATGACACTACCCAAACTGACTTGAAATAGAAAGTCTCAACAGACCCATAACAAGTGAAGAGATTGAATCTGTAATCAAACCCCGCCCCCCCCCCCAAAAAGTCCTGGACCAGATGATATCAGTGGGGAATTCTACCAAATATTTAGAAAAAAATTAACACCAATAATGTTTAAACGCTTCCAGAAGATAGAGAAGGAGAGAATAGTCTCTAATTCATTCTATGAAGCAAACATAATCCTGCTACCAAAACCAAAGACATCACAAGAAAAACTACAGGCCAGTAACTCTTATGAATATAGATGCAAAAATCCTCAACAAAATAGTAGTGAACAGAATTCAACAGCATACTGAAAGAGTCATAGACCGTGATCAAGTGGGATTTATTGCAGGAATGCAGGAATGGTTCAACATTAGAAAATCAACATAATATACCACATCAGTAGAACAAAGGAAAGGAACCATATGATCATCTCTATGAATGCAGAAAAAACATTTTATAAAATCCAACATCCTTTCTTGATGAAAGACCTAAAGAAGATTGGAATAGAAGAGAAATTCCTCAGCATGATTCAGGGCATATAGGAAAAGCCAACAGCCAACATTATACTTAACGGAGAAAGACTGAGAGCTTTCCCTTTGAAATCAGGAACAAGACAAGGGTGCCTGCCCTCACCATTTCTGTTCAATATTAGAAATCCTAGCCAGAGCAATAAGATAAGAAAAAGAAATAAAAGGTATTCAGATTGGAAAAGAAGAAGTAAAATTTATTCGCAGATGATATCCTACATATAGAAAATCCCAAAGAGTTCACAAGAAAAACATCTAGAGCTAATAGAGGAATTTAGCCAAGTTGCAAGGTACAAAGTCAACAAACAAAAATCAGTTCGGTTTCTATACACCAGCAATAAGAAATCCAAAAGGGAAATTAGGGAAACAATTCCATTTACAATACTATCTAAAAGAATAAAATATTTAGGAATAAATGTACCCAAGGGATGTGAAGGACTTATACAATGAAAATTATAAAAATCTGCTGAAAGAGACTAAAAAAGATTTAAATAAATGGAAAGATGTTCCATGTTTATTGAGTGGAAGACAATATTGTTAAGATGTCAGTACTACCCAAAGTGATATATAGATTAAGCTCAATCCCAATCAAAATTCCAACAGCCTTTACGGACATAGAAAAACCAGTCCTCAACTTTATATGGAATGGCAAGAGGCCCCGAATAGCTCAAGCAATGTTGAAAGAGAAGAACAAAGTAGGAGGACTCACACTTTCTGATTTTAAAGCATACTACACAGCTGCTGTTCTGCTGCTATTCATGTCACCTTGAAGACTAAGGTGTGCCTGACCCAAGGCATGGTAGTTTGAATCGCATCATGTGCACGCGAAAGCTGGACAAATGACTAAGGAAGACCGAGGAAGAATTGACGCCTTTGAATTGTGGTGTTGGCGAAGAATATTGAATATACCGTGGACTGCCAAAAGAACAAACAAATCTGTCTTGGAAGAAATACAACCAGAATGCTCCTTAGAAGGAAGGATGGCAAGACTACGTCTTACATACTTTGGACATTTTGACAGGAGGGATCAGTTCCTGGAGAAGGACATCATGGTTGGTAAAGTACAGGGTCAGCGAAAAAGAGGAAGACCCTCAAGGAGATGGATTGACACAGTGGCTGCAACAATGGACTCAAGCATGACAACAATTGTGAGCCTGGCGCAGGACCGGGCAGTGTTTCGTGCTGTGGTGCACGGGGTCGCGATGAGTCAGAATCGACTTGACGGCACCTAACAACAACAATGCCACACAGCTGCGGTAGTCAAAACAGCCGGGTGCTGGTGTAACAGTGGACACAGACCGATGGAATAGACTGACAGCTCAGAAATCCGCACATCTGCGGTCAACTGATGTTTGACAGGGGTGCTAAATCCATGCAATAGGGAAGGAAGAGTCTCTTCAATAAATAGTGCTGGGAAAATTGGATTTCCACATGCAGAAAAATGAAACAAGATCTATGCCTCACACCATACACAAAAAACAAATTCAAAGCGGATTTTGGAACTAAATGTGCAAACAAAAATCATAAAACTCTTAGAAGAAAAAGCAGGGGTAATGCTGTCAGGCCTAGTTTTTAACAATGGATGATCTAATATAATAAAAGCACTAACAGCAAAAGGCAAAAGAGCTTGGCTGCTAACCAAAAGGTCAACAGTTTGAATCCACCAGCTGCTCCTTGGAAACCCTATGGGGCAGTTCTACTCTGTACTGTAGGGTCGCTATGAGTCGAAATGGACTCAGCAGCAACGGGTTTCATAAAGATTAACTTTTGTTCATCAACAGATTTTACCAAAAAAGTG